GCTGTTTCAAGAATTAAATCTATGACAAAGTTAAATAGAAAAGGAGAGAGAGGGCAACCCTGTCGAACACCACTTTCCGTGGTGAACTCGGATGAAAAAGTGCCGTAAGCTCGAACTCGGCTTCGGCTATTATTGTAGAGGGATTGTAATATTGAAATTAACTTCTCGGGCACGCCCTTCAGGGAAAGGCAGCGCCAGAGTTTAGAGCGGTGGATTGAGTCGAAAGCAGCTTTTAGACCTAGGAAGATGGAAATGGTGGGTCTACGAAAGGAGTGTCTATGTTCTAGAATTTGACGAAGTGTGAAGACGTGGTCAATACAGCCTCGACCAGGTCTGGAACCGGCCTGGTTCCCACGCGTACACCGTTCACGTGCGGCAGACAATCGACGGAGTATGATACCGGTGAGAAGTTTAGAGGCAATATTGATTAAACTAATTCCTCTGTGGTTTTCACAGGAGGATCTGTCACCTTTCTTGTCAATCGGTATGATCACCGATTCACAGACAATGGACGAAACCCGGTTTCGATGTGTGAAGACAGTCCACTGGGGACGCAAGAAGCCTATAGGAGCTTAATCCGTAATTGATCGGCGTGACAACAAAGAGAAAAGTATCAAACAAAAGTTAATAACATCAATGAGACAAAAAGAACTACATTCGGAAAAACCAATCAGGCAAATCGACAGTTGACACCTGAACCAGACTATCCTAAATGAGGCAGGCATTTAGTGCCAACGATTAGCAATTGAATGTATAAATATACCCGAGTAGATTGAGAAACTTTCTTTCGGGTAACTTTTTTCTAAGTGAGCACAAGTTGATTTCATGGATGAATCAACGCGGAGTTTTGGGAATACGGTACGAAATGGCATTCCTGGTACTACTCACCTTTTCTTTTCAAAAGTGCATCTCTGGTCCTTCTTACACGGTCAAGTGCTTCCTGTAGGACAACAGGGTAAGGGTGATTGTCTTTCTTGGTGAAAGACCCAATTCATATGTTTCACAATGTGTTTTTATGGACGCTTATGACCCTATTGCAGATATCGTTCGTCAGACCAAAACCGGCCAAGTCTTTCAGCATCGAAGGTGATCGTCTGCAACCGCCTGTTCATCATCTATCTCTTCACGATCGTTTTGTCATACGCGAACTGCCGAGAATCGAACGATATAAGCTTATAAGCCTACATATAACATCGAGATTGGTCAATGCGCCTTCGCACTTGCTGCTCATAAGCTTTCAAATTATTAACTAGTCACCATTTTCTGACAGGTCGAAGCGTACAAACCAGAATTCAGATGTAATTATCAAAGTACAACTGAATAATGCGCGACGAAACGAAACGACACAAATCGTATATTGCGAGTTACGTTAGTTTAGTTATTTTCCAACAATGATTGTGTCGGTAGACAATTAAGTGTTACTCCTCAGCCATTAAAACAAGTTTCTTTTGTTTCTGCTGTACCAAGTGCACGCAAACTTTGGAACTTTGAAAAAAACACACACGGACTGCAAGGATGATTGGCAGAGAAAAAAACTTGATAAGTTACCTTTTTCACTTGGTCCGGTTTCGTCAGAAGTGCAGCACCCATTCCACCCTAAAGAGAGAGATAACCGAATGAGCAGAACTTAATGAATAGACGATTGACGGGGAACGAGATGAATTATCGGAAGACCTTAATCGTGATTGTACAATTTTAAGCAGTGCCGTAGAATTCCTAACAGGGAAGAAAGGGGGCGCTTTTTAACATGGAATACCTCCATGGTATCAAACTACACCAACTACCAAACTACACTACATCACCTTAGAGGTCTACGGAAGTCACGGGGATGGAACGTTTGGATGGATGCGTCGTAGCCTCCAAGAGTCTCAGAATGGTCGGGGGTGGGTGCCTCGGGTTGTGGTTGATCACCGTTCTCTTTTACCTCACGAAACGCTCCTATATGACCAAGCGTCTCGAATAACCTCTGCTGAGGAAGTCCTACTCATTTCATTCTCGTGGCGGAAGTGTTTTTCCACCAAAGGAAGAGGACGAAGAGCCAACATCCGGGGCTATAACCGGGTTGGTGGACCACTGGTCGTTCACCTAGGGGGGGGTTGGCCAAATGTGCCACAACATATGAACAAAAAGTAATCTGAAGAATATGGTCGTGGATTGTGTGGACATGTTGCCCTGAACGAAGAATGGGGACGACCTCGAGGTTCCCACCCGACATGCCTTTGGACAGAAAGCCAGACTTGGGAGACAACAGGACGCAGCTCAGAGTCCGCCGCAGTCAATTGGAGGCCGGTGTCCAATTCATTGGATCATACGCCCTTTCAACGGGGTCAAACGTCCAAGCTGCCCAATACACCTCGATGTCCAATCGAGCCGGTGACCACTGCCACAACTGGGAAGATGTGCGTGTTGTTCTTACGCCTT